ACTTTCTGAATGAAGGATCTTGCCTTTCCCTTCTAAAACACACATGTGATACAATAGAATGCATTTGTAAAATTTTCCATAAAAGGAGATCATTTACCTGTAAAAGGAAATTCTTTAGCATATGTGGTCCCCTATCTGTATTCTAAATATGGCTATGTATATGCACCATGCACCTGAGGCTGGAAAAATCTTGCAAATAGCATAGGTTGGTAGGCACCCCACGCCTCCTTGTGTGCTCAGGACTGCAGTATAAAGAGAGAATCAAACTGACCACCTCATCAGTTCCTTCTGTATCATGGAGCCAGTCATAATCCAAAGCAGAGGGGAAGGCGTGTGGGTGGTGAAACATTTTGAACAGACTCTGAACATGAAAGCTCTAAATCTAATGACCAACTAAATACCAGGAAATGAGGCAGAGTCATGACGGGGGTTAGAAAGAGGAATACCTATACCGCAAAAACCCCTCTCTTCTGTCAATTCACTGTAAATTTTCTTGAGCAAAAACACGCTTGAGGTGTGGACGCTCCATGAGTTTTTGCGCAAAAACGACCATTTTTGCACAAAAACTCTGCAGTGTAGATGTAGCCTCAGAGGGATTTTAGCCCCTCCTTGTTTATATAGAAGACAGTCATCATGTTGTCTGACATTATCCAAGAAATGACAGGATTGTATGAATAGGAGAAATGAATTGCTAGCCTGTTTGATTGCTCTTACTTCTATGAGATTGATATGCATCCTGCTCTCCCAAGATGTCTACATATCTTATACTGGATGACCACATATGTCAGCTTCCCAGCTTTTGACATATCTGTGATTTTTGTCATTTCAGGCGCAGGAAGCAAAAAGAGGAACTCCAATGCACATGTTCCAGGTTCCTCTGCCACAGGAAAGACAATCTAACTCTGAAAATTACTGTCACTGCAACGTCCATGCTGTGTCTGGCGTATATACTAACCAGAGCCAGGAATGCAGACAACACAAATGCAGGTTGGAGAACTGCTTTATGTAAATACAGGAAGCCATGTAACCTAGCAAAGATAGAGAGACTCAGACTCTTGGGGTACATCTAGACTACATGCCTCTGTCGTCAGAGGCATGTAGATTAGGCTACCCGACACAGTAAAATGAAGCAGCGATTTAAATAATCGCCGCTTCGTTTAAATTTACATGGCTGCCGCACTAAGCCGACAAACAGCTGATCAGTTGTTTGTTGGTTCAGCACGATAGTCTGGACGCTCCCCTGCCGACATCAAAGGTATTTGTCGACCACCCAGGTATGCCTCCTGGGATGAGGGTTACCTGGGTGGTCGGCGCGGCAGCCATATAAATTTAAATGAAGCGGCTTCATATTAATATGTTTCGTG